CCCCAAAACCCCAAAACCCCAAAACCCCAAAACCCCAAAATATAATAAATTTTTCAGTAATGGGACCAAGGTGCTGTAAATCCCTCACTGTGAGTTTTGCAACTAATCTCTAGACAATCGGGGGTGTAAAATACCGTAAAAGAAAACCTGGTGAAGAAAATGAGTTCAACAGTGAAGAAGAGAATGAGTCCTTTGACCACCAAAGATTGCATTCCAAGTCACTCGCCAAGATGTTCCAGGAAGATAAGAAAAAGAAGAAGCTTAAGGAATATATAGTAAGTTATTATACCCTTTGGGATTTATGTTCATAGATATACTTCGTCAAAGGTTCTTACGAACAAAAATGTACAAAAAGAATCTCAAAGAGTAAGAAACTTGCTTATCTCTCTTCATAGCAATGGATAGGTTTGAACTAAAACCCTAAGGATGCCTTCAAGATCTGGAAGTGCTTTATTAAGTATGATAAACATCATGACGGGTATATCAACCTTGATGACCTGTATTATATGATCCAGGAGCGAGCATGGTCAATCGTGGGTCCATACCTTGAAAGATTATATGAATTAATGTAAGTCATAGCTTAGAATAACCCCTTAAGTCTTGTTTAGTGATAGGAAAGAAGAAGATAAAATCTTCTTTGAAGAATTCATCCATGCAATCAGCGCATTCTGTCTATTTACTAAAGATGAAATGATGATGTTTGTCTTCAAAATGTTTGACAGAGATCGCGATGACTTCATCTCTAAAAAGGATGTCTTCAGACATCTCATGACTGAAAGAAATAACCAAATGGTGTACCCTGTCAACAACCTCAGAGCTGTTGAACTATTCAAATGTCTACGAGGAGACAGAATCGATCGTAAAATGTTTCTCAAACTGATCATCCAAGTACCCTACCTCGTTTTCCCAGCCTTCAGGCTGCAGGAAGAGCTCAGAGAAGTCATTGTCGGTTTCAGATTTTGGAAATAAAATCGCTAAAAGAGTCGAAGCCAAGGAAAACGAGAGGAAGAAGATGGAAGAAAAGAAGAAAATCAAGTAAAAAATCTGTTTAACCTCCTTTAGGCAAAGACAAAAACAACGTGAGGAAGAAATTAAGCAAGAAAGAGAGAATCTATTCTTGGAACACTGTAAAAACCTTAATGAAATCGATGCGAAGAATAAGAAACTCGAAGAAGAAGAAATGAGAGAAATTCGAAACCCTCAAAGACGTCATACAGACGGATTTATAGGCGTAAAATTCCGTGAAAGACCTCTAAGAGAGGATATAGATGAACGTCTTGAACGCCGAGAAGAACTTCTGGTCAAACACCAGGCCAATGATATCCTTGGGATCCCTCTTTACGACAGAGATCTACATACAAGTTTTATATTCGATAGAATGGCAGATGAAGAAGTTATTGAGAAGAAGAGAATCCTTAATATTGATCCAACAGATAAAAGATTCAACTTTGATAATGAAATTCAAAGATTTGTTAATGAGCAAGAAAATAAATTCAATCAAAATGATCAGAGGGAGGAGAAAATGGATAGAGAGAATTCTCGAGATAGTGCTTTCAGCAGTTACCATGGTAAGAAGATATCCTTGCTCTTTTTCATACGTTATAGAAAAGACAAAAGGGATCAATGCAAAGCATCTTCTAAGTGATAGAGACAGTAAATATTCCTCATCAGAGGATAACTCTTTGCTTTACTTAGAGGATGATGATGATTTGAAAAAGCTAAATGAGAAACCTGGAGCTACGAAAGATACTAGGCCTTACAATAAAACATATAATAGCGAATTTCCTGATACCAACAAAGATTACAACAGTGATTCTGACCAAGACAGCAGCTCTGACTCCAGTGGATACGATGATGATATTGGCATCAACGATAAGTATAATCTCATCAAAAAGGCTAAAAATGATCGTGAATTTAAACTAAAAATCAAAGAAAACAAAGAGCAAAGACTTCTGCTTAAAAAGAGACAGAATTCAAAAGCCACCAGACTAAGCTCTCAGAAAAGAAGTAATATTTCTCTCTAATCATAGGTTTATTTAAAAGTAGTCAGAATAGTCTATCAAATATGGATAATTCAGGTGACATCTCCAAAACAAGGAAGAACACTATCAAAAATTCTGAGAAAAAGAGCACTAAAGGCCTCCCAAATGGCCCAAGAAGCAAGCACTCCAAGAACCTTAATGACTCTATTTCTCTGAACTCCATAGATGTTAGTGTTGAGAAAAGGAAGAATGTACCTAAAGACCATGGAGATCTTTCCTTTGAGTTTCAGCAAAAGAAGAGCCAGAAATATGGAAAGTCAAAGTCAAAAGTTACCGTTGAAGATGACTCTAGATCCAGGCTTAATAATGGATATGAGGATGAACAACTCTCCAGGATTGAAGAGCTCCAGAAAGCTCATGATTCCATCATGAGCGATTATCGCAAGATTAGTGAAAATGAAAGTGAAGTTCTAGAAGATGAACATAAAGATTCTGTGAAAGATCTAGAATATAGTCAAAAACCAGCAACTCCTAATATGGATATTAAGAAATCCCAAAGTGGCATGATTGACCTTGCTCCTGACCGGCCTCATTCCTCAAATCTATTAGAAGCTCCTAGGACAGCAATGATAAGGAGCCAATCTATGGTTGAAATTGAACAGAAAAGAGCTGGTACAGCTAACTCTGAGAATAAAAAGCATAACGACTTCGATGAACAAAGCAATGCTGGAAGTATGAAATCTTACATGAGTCAAGCAAAGTCTAACTATCATCTTCTAAGGGTAAGTTTCTGCCTCACATTATTAGCAATCGAGCAAAGTAAGTATTGCAAGCCAGAGTGCTCTTTCGGATACTGGGTACAAGGTTGTGCATCAAAAACGTCACTAAATTTTTCACGGTTTCAATTCGGAATCCAAATTTCGGGGTTTTGGGGTTTTGGGGTTTTGGGGTTTTGGGGTTTTGGGG